ACATTTATAGAGCAGATTCATAAGCCTCATTCACTCAGAACGGGCTTTGAGGGGCTTTAAATTGATTCGATTATGGTAATGCCACGGCAATGGCACGTATCGTCACACCTTTTTCTATTAAGCTTATAATAGCTTTTCTTTTTTGGCTGCAGATTTACTTTTTCTGTTATGGGCAGAGAAAATGTTTGCACCCAACAGTTCCTTAAGTTTTTGGAGATTCTCCAGTAGCAAAGGTCATGTTAGGACTAGATCCCCTGAAAAGAAACGTCGATCAGTCGCTTTCTTGAGGGTTCCGAACGTTTTTAAGGTCTTAAATGGTCAAAATAATGGGCAAAGGCGGAATTTCATTACCCAAATAACCGTTCTCGAGGGAAACTAGTAAATGGGAAAGTGACGGTGATTTCAGCTGAAGTTGAGATTGCAAATATCCCTTCCAGAAATTGCATCTCATCATCTCAATTTATTAAATGTCCCTTATACAATTTAGTTTTATTATATCCGTCGTCTGACTGCCATCAAGAGGTTTTTCTTTTCAACAAGGGAACACTCAAAAGGCAAGCCAACGGCCATTAGACGTGAACTCTTTAGGAATTCATTACCAGAATTTCTGTGGGATTTCTTTGGGCTTTCCCATTCATTTTGTTCACAGGGAATCTAATTATCCGGGAAACGTCATCGTTACGGCGAAAAGCTTTGTCAGTGCGGATCACGTCATTTGACTCTGTGCATTCCTCCGTTGGTAGCCGTTATAGAGGAAATCTCCCACTTGGTGCACCATATGTTATTTGGTAGTTACCATTAGTGGGGAATTGGCTTCGATCCAATACTTGTCGCATCGCGCTTTTAGCTTCCCCTCTAGGAAAATGACATCACTTTTGACCGACAACAGAATGACGTCGAATTGCGTGGGATGCGGCCGAGCAGCCCCGAGGGGATGTGGAGAGTATGGCATGCGCGGAGAGTCCGTGCAAGCCTTTCATGGCACGAGAGGCTTCAGCTAAGCTCAGTGATGTGCGATGGTGAATACCAGAAGGCGATTGATAGAGTGTGAGCCAAGCTTGACGCATACAGTAGAGAGCGACGAGGGAACATAGAAGGTGTGGAGGTACGTCTACCAGGGCGGGATAGGGCGGGACTGGGGATCGTCGTCATCGTCATGTGGGTGGGCGGGACAACTCGACGCCAGGCCGACATTGATTGTCGTCGTCAGAAGAAGGAGCGGTCGTCATAGACGATTCTGAATCCTGCCTATCATCGTTGTGACTATTGTGAAGACGTGAGCACACGTTTGATCTAACCCAGACGCTGTATGCACTCGTCCACGAGGAAACGTCTTGTCTCACAATGGCCGAGAGGGGTAAGTCGCCCGATGACTTTTGATCGTCGTCATGCCGTTTCGGTCTTACTACTTGCATCATATTACTGATAAGGTGTTATCACTAACTTGGAACAGTTGCGGCGCTCGATGTTTCGCGAACTTTCGAAGGCACCCCCTTTTCCCATAAAAGCCCTTCCAAATAGGAGTTTTTTCCGACATTCATTTTTCCGACTTTCACTTGCTGGGCGATTACTTATGATTTATTTTTGCCTTATTTTTTACTGGAAAAGTTTTATAAGGTATTGTACTTCGTTACAATTTCCCATGCCATCTGCTCTGTGCCTTTGTCGAATTTTCGATGACATTTTCTCTTCGTATGCGAGGCTATCAGTTATGTTCGATAATTTTATGTAAATGCGTTTGCGTGGTCTCTGTGCTCCTTCAAAAGCAAGCAGAAATCGATGCCATGCTTGGGAGGATTTAAATTTTTCCTTCTCCCTCTCTGTGGTCATCAGCAATGAGATCTCACGCCCCGAAAGGTCCACTAATGAAAGGATTAAAATGGTCCGCCTTCAAGTTCCTTCATTTTCTTGGATCCCTACAGGCGTTTTCCTCTTTTTTTTTTGGTCACAGTTATTATCCAAACATATTATGTCCTTTCCCTATTAACACCCCTCAGGTGGCTCTGCCAGTCACAACGCCCCCACTTTTACCAATACTGTTGCCCTAATGGGCTAGGCCTCCATTGTTATGAACGTTTGGCTAATTTTTATTCGAATATTTCGAAAACAACAATTTTTTTCTATTCGGTTTAGTACCACGTCACTGCCAGCACTGCCGGTGGTTCTCCCTTCCGAGCCCCCCTACCGCTCATACATATCTATCTACCCCCGCATTCTCCAATTCATTGTGCCCACCCAAGTCTCTGACCCAACGCAGTGCCAGTTCTCCCAGTTCTCTATCACTGCCCAACTACCATAATTGGGTACCGGAAAATCCGTATTTAATCCATCGGCGCGACCAAATCTACTCTGATGTGTTTGGGGAAAAAGTAAAAGGTATCTGTGTCTTGTGTTCGTGTTCAGTGTTCTCATTTCGCCACTGTAAAAATGATTCATCACTGATTAGCCCAATGATTATTTCAGCTCACCGTGGCCCCTCATTCGCATAGCGGCTCATCATCGAGAAGCATGAAACACGAGGGACCGTATGTGGCGAGCATAACGGAACTCACACGAAAGCAGGTCAGTCCCCGGGTATTTTGGTTGTTCTACCCAGCTTCTCTCATGGAATATCTCTTTTCTTTACCCCCCATTCATACATAATTGTACTTTTGAAATTGATTACTCTGATGACGTTACCACCATCGCCACACAGTCTTTTTCTAAAAGTGCGTGGCATTCAGTTCCATGAGCTAGTTTGCATATGCAGTTAGACTCGCCCACATGTAGCCAGCCCACGGTAGAGGATGGACTGAATAGGGCATGCTGGGGCTTGGGGAAAATGAACCAAAACATATTCTAATACCTACTGGTTAAATTAATACAATTTGTTTCACTGAACTGATGACAAAGTTTTTTTCTTCCCATTTGGGACGTTGATATTCTGGCATCAATTTCTTCCTTTTACTTTTTACCTATGCAAAGGTGGTTCAATCGACACAGTTAATCTCTTTCTGCACGGTCCTTATCTTTCCCACATGGGCAACACACTTGCTTGTTGCTATTCTTTGTTACAGTAATCTTTGCTGGCTTGGTTACATACTGTAGCCATTGATTCTTATTATCAAATGCAATTATGGATGTAAATTAGCAAGCACTAGGCAGTTCTTAAAATAGAACAGATCTCCTTGGGACTTCAGTGAGGCTACAATTTCCCCACTTGAAGCTCATGGGCAAATATTCAAGTCTTTTGATCAATGCAGAAAAGCATTTCTCGTCAATCCATGGGAAAGTGTCCAAGGAAGGGCCACGGCGATTTCCCGATTAAAACTCCTGTGTTGTGGTCGTTTTTCTCGCCCTGTATCTCGAGATTTTGGATTTTTCCTAGAAATTCTGTTGGAGCTATGCAAAATGCCCCCGCCACCAGCTTCTTTACTAGTAATTGCTCCTGTCGTACTGGTTTATATCCTCCCTGAATTACTCCTTTCCCCTAGAAAATCCTCCCAAGTACTTCTTGGGAACTCTTGCAACAGCCAGTCATCATCCATCTCATTCATTTCATCAGATTCCATAAATATCCGAGCTGCAGCTGCTCTGAAGCATAATGCTTACCTAATCATTCCATGAACGCCTCTTTATTGCTGCCTATGGCAATGACGCGTGATTACGTCTGTATTTCCCCTATTTCTCCAATTTCCCCCTCCCATTCATGTTTGAAGTGGTACTACATCTTCACAGTGTGTAAGTGGAAATGTGAACCCTTTGATCTGGACCAACCTGAAAATAAATGAGCCCATGAATTACTTCTGGGAAAGCTTTTCCGAAACCCATAAATGGATTGATTTATTTGTGTAGCGCTAGTGGTAATTAGTTTGGTCAAAGTGTAAGGTTGTGTACCATCTATTAAAGGCTACCGTACCTTGCCTAGTAAGCACGAAATCTCCCATTAGATGAATGACGTGATATAGAGTAGTAAAAAGTCTTTCTCCGAAGTACATGTTTCCCCTATGTACTTGGCTTTTTTCGGTGGGTACGTGTGTAGCGACAAAAGGGGAAAAGCTGAACAGCAATATAACCTCGTCACAGCTTATCTATAATTAAAGCCANTGGACCAACCTGAAAATAAATGAGCCCATGAATTACTTCTGGGAAAGCTTTTCCGAATCCCATAAATGGGTTGATTTATTTGTGTAGCGCTAGTGGTAATTAGTTTGGTCAAAGTGTAAGGTTGTGTACCATCTATTAAAAGGCTACCGTACCCTGCCTAGTAAGCACGACATCTCCCATTAGATGAATGACGTGATATAGAGTAGTAAAAAGACTTTCTTCGAAGTACATGTTTCCCCTGTGTAGTTCGCTTTTTTCGTTGGGTACGTGTAGCGACAAAAGGGGAAATGCTGAACAGCAATATAATCTCGTCACAGCTTATCTATAATTAAAGCCAGTTACGTCATTTAATTCCGGGTAACTCGTCCGAAGCCTGGTACGACATATCCCTTCCTGGTACAAATTTTTACTTACATATTTCAAATAAAGTCATACACTTAATTGGTGAATTCATTTTGACTGACAGACTGGGAGCCCGTATGAGTCCACCAGTGGCAGGTATGAATGGGCAGCATGGTTGCCCTTTACTGGGTTTTTGGTGGGTAATGGTAAATGTGGTGGGTAAGAAACGATTCAGGGGACATTTCCTGGCACGTAGCCATTTTCAGTCATAATGACGCCATCGAAAGATACTCACGATGGGGTTGCCGTTAGCCTTCCCTCCTATGGAAGAATAATGATCGGCGACAAAAACAAAAGGTGGTACCACCGTGGGTGGTCTGCTGCGCGGGAATACCTCTTTCACCTACGACTTACCTAACATAATTTATTTCTTTCACACCAACACATCTAACGCTGTACAATTTAACCTTGAAATTCAGGGTATGGGTCCGGTAAGGACATTGAGGGATGCTGTATTTTATTGTTTCAGATTGATCGTCTTCGCACCGTCCTTAACGAGACGGTGGAGATCCATGGGAAAGGAAATTTCCCAACGATTTCGGCTCGTCTTATTGATATCATCTCATGTGTGAGGGATAAACTCAGGTTTGCGCTTTCACCCAACTATTTCTGTATATACATATTTTTCTTTTTCCGCCTTGGCTAGCTTATTAGATTACCATGAATACGTTTGAGTAATGGATCTCAGTCAAGCCTCATTTCTAAGAATCCTTAGCTTCCGCGTCATTTCAATAAGCATATGCAAGGGGAGCAAGAGAGGTTTTTCCCCGATGCTCATCTAGATGGTAAGGGTAATAAATCTAATCATTCTGTATATGAGAATACTGAATGACGTCATTTCGTGATAGGTTGGATGGGTTGTTACCGTTTGAAGATGGGGTGGGAAGGTACGGTACCGAACACGTTCACCCTTTTTCCTGGTGAAGAGGAGCCACGTCTCCGGCTGTGTTCGCCTAGTAGACCACCCAGAAAGAGGGGACCAGGGGTCTCCTTCATGAGTTGGTAGAAGTAGAGTTTCCTGGGACGATGAAGCTTCTCAGTTTTCTGGGAAGAATGGACTTATTCGTTTGAGCCCTTTTTCATTTGTTCCTTGGATATTCCACCAAATCTCACAGATAATGAGCTGAAAACCCTTCTACGTCCATGAAATATTCACGATTAATAAGAGTGGCTCAACAGTTGCGTGGGTTTCTCCGAAGTCGGTGGCGGGTTAAGTAACTAATCGGTCTTTGTACCTGATTTCTATGGTCCTGAATGGAAAGTTGTTGATTGTCCCACGAAATTACAGTAAGCAACTTTGTTTGAGTGTTGAATATTTTCAGAGAAGCTGGCATGCCCCCAAAATCGGTGAAACTCAATGGAGGTGCGGCTTCGCATGTCGCTTCAGCTGACGATTTCTCTTACGCTGATCTTGATCTCATTTTCCCGATGGAGGTAGAGAATTCGGACAGTTTTGATAAGGTAAATCTCAGCTCCTGGAAACCTAATCACCCTACTGACAGCCCAGAGAAAAATCTGATCACCCAAGGACAAGATTTTAAGACCAGCCCATAAATCGTCCGAGTTTTTAGGTTCGCGAAGCTGTATTTGATACCATCATGGATATGATGCCATCCGCAAATAAAACGAAAATCAACGCTGACACTTTGAAAGATGTCTACATCGGCAAGATGGTGAAGGTTGGTCATTACTTACAAATTCATATTAGCCGATTGAAATTCTGGAAGCCGAACTACCTCGGGACAACTCGTCCATTTGTTTAGGTGTCTGGTGAGGACGATCGCTGGTCGTTGTTCTCGCTACACAACGACTTTGGACGGTGTATCGAACTGAAGTTCGTCGATAAAATGCGTCGGCAGTTCGAATTTTCCGTCGACTCGTTCCAAATCACCCTCGATTCGTTGTTGGACGATTTCAATGCGCCTGAACCTAAAGTCTACATCGAAAGCATGTTCGGCGATGTGCATCAGGTAGGTTGGCGACCACACTGGGGGTGACCCATCGTCAACAACTGAGCTCCTAAATGGGGACTGTTCCAGGCGATGTCTCACCTGCACGAACGACTCATCGATACTCGCCGTCCTGAAGAGATTCGTGGTGGAGGACTACTTAAATATTGTCATCTACTTACAAGAGGCTATAAAGCAGCTCGGCCATCAAAATGCCGGCAACTGGAGAGGTAAGCGGACCAAAAGATCGATGTCTTTTTTGCGTGTTGTGTAGAGGGTTCGTGAAAGGGAGAAGGCATGGAAGCGAGTCCGAGTGGCGCTGTTCAACGCTGTTTAATTGAGCATCCATCCCTCGTGCCGGGATACATGATACCCTATGCTTATGAGCCAGTGATTCTAATTGATGTGTAGATATCGTTAGGAAGTTTTTCTCATGAATTTGATTCGAGATTTCCGGGAAAACATCCCATTTGGGAGAGGACTTTCAAGTTTACTTAATAGCGTACTTTAGGTACATGTGCTCTCGCTTCTTCATCGACTTCCCTGATGTAATGAGCCAAGAGCAAAAGCTGAGGACTTATCTGGACAATCATTTCGGCTCGAACAATGACCAGGTTCGTTTGTACAGAAGTTTTCCCAGATCATGAGACTTTGCTCCCCATAGCAACGGCAGCGGCCCGTAGCTCGACCTATGATCAGGGAAGCTGTTCAAACAGTTCCACTGTATAGCTAGTGTTGTCATCTGACTGTTCCGTTATGGGCGAACTCGAGACTGCCGCCAAAGAAGCGCTGCCCACATGGCGCGGATTCCGGCATGGATTCTTCTAGAGCACGAGGTGCACTTGACGTAGAGAATCCATAATGGCAGCAAATGTTGCGTCAAAAACGCGATCACCGGGTGCCCTCCTACATGGGGAAGGCGACATGGTGACAGCAGTTTATTTGGCTTTGGAAACCAACATTAAAGTGCAACATTGAGCTGCAAGGAATCACGCTTCATGTAAATGCCCTTGGTTGAATCAGCTAAGAAAACCTAATCTTTCAGTGGATAGCCACGAAGGGCTATTTTTAGCAGCTCCGGAAGAACCAATTTATATGACGCAGTGTGAAATCAGAAGCTGTTAGCTCTCTCGGCCGACGTGTAATGACGTTAGTCCAGTAGCGGTCTTTTACGGGAAAAATGGGCTACCGTGATGGGAGAATTTGGTGGGCGAATTGGTTCTGGAAAAACCGTTTTTTGGGGATCCCCCGTCTCATCTACTCGTACAATCGAGCTTGAATCTCTTTTGATTTACGACAGGCCGTGGCGGAAACCATTGAACCATTGACTTCAACTCAGCAACCCTTCGTGATCATCGGGGTTTTCTCACACCACTAACTTATTTCAAATGGTTAGACTGGGCGAGAGTTTGAGTAGTCGAACTATCTCGGAAAAACCAGCTTTTGAGTTGTAATTAGTAGAACAGTGATGTCTTCTGGTGGCCAAATTCTGGCTATGTCTGCCCTTTGAAGCTTTTGTTGTGGACGTTGAGTTCTGGAACAACGAAGCTCCTCAGATGGAATTCATTTCTGAACCTATGACGTGATGTTTTCCTTTTTGACAAAAGCCATACATTCTAACAATAGGTCGTTATGCATAATTACTTGTTAGAAAGCAGCTGGATGACGGAATATGTAATAAGGGGAGGTAATCAGGGAGAGATTTATGCCCTAGCGCCATAGTACCCAGATCATACCTACACTGGGATGATTTACAGTCATTACTACGAGTGTTCCGGTACTCAATATTGTGAAATTAGTATGTTGCATAGCGGGAAGAAACTCCCACACCCACTCCATCACGCAAAACCCCTTCAGGGATCATGGTCCGCTTCGAGAGCTCTTTCATGGGGCTGCATGATATTCCTGGGGCCATTCATATTTCTTGCGCTAAAATTCTAAAGCCGGGACACCAGCAACGTGACTGCCAGACCATTGACGGGAAGGGTACTGTAGCAACATCCTGATGCCTATTCAAGCATGGATCTCAACGTTCCCATGAGTTTCACTGCATCGGTGAGCTGTCACGAGGCTAATTTCGCTCTTCCTCGCTATGTTTGTCTTCGCTCACTTTCGCCGCATGCNTGCAGAATCTCATTACGCTTGCCATGACATCATTCCGGACGCCGTCCTCATCGAGATGAAATGAACACACACGCGCTGGCGGTCAGCCTTGCCTAGGAAAGCCTTCCGGCCATTAATCGCCATCTATCACACTAAACGCCACGTGATGGTGGTCCTTGGAAGGAAACCATCAGCCGTAACTCATTGCAAACGTAGTCCTTTTTCTGATGGGGCGTAGGTGTGTGGGCGTAATTATCCATCAACCCATTCACCACAACGCCCTACCAGCCGAGATTCCATTGAAGGGCCTCTAGCTTTTTATTTTCCGTTCCTGCCCACCCATGCTTCAGTAAATGGTAGTTGGTACACTCGGTTGACCGGGGGCTTTTTCGAGAAGGGCCGTATGCGTCAGTGAAGCTGCCTCGGCATGCTGCATGTGGATATGTGTTTGCGTCGTCCGAGTCCGAGCAGCAAAGCCCGACCACATCGATAATTTGTCTTCTCTGTCTGTTCATTAGCAGATAGCGAGCGGTAAATGAAAATATTTGGCTGATGAATTCTGACGGTGTATGGGGAGAGCGGAGCCCATTATCTAACTAGAATGTCACAAAATCGACTATACAGCAAATATTTCAGTGGTCAAGCTCGGGCGATGAGACTGATTCGGAGGCGTCAACCAGCCAGGCACCGTCAACGATACTGGCACAAAGTCAAGCCAAATATGACTTCTTGATGCTTCTGCATCGTGTAGTCAGTGAAAGTACGGTATGCCTGATGAGCCATGAAAGACGTCAGACGTTGGTGATGATCGACCGACTCGCATTTCAGGTAAGGTCGCTTAAGTTTTTCTGGTCACTTAAGTCCGCATTTGGTGCTTTCGGCTCCAGTCAAGCCATTTGTCTAATTGCCTGGGCAAACTTCGCTTCAGTTGCCTTAACAGGCAATAAGCTTTTTGGCTTTTTATGCTAATAGCGCCTTTCTAGCAGAAAAATGAAGCTTGACTGGGCAGCAAAGTGCAGCGTGAAGTCACAGTTTTCCCCCGAAATGAATGCAACAAATTCAATTTTGTCGTTTTTAGGTATCTCTGAGCATCTACAATCCACAGAATACCGTTGCCGGTCATACGCCACGTACAACACTCTTTTACCTCCCACGTAATACAACGCAGTGGATACCGGTAGTATGATCAACAATCACATCGTAATAATCTATACTAATAACTCCCTAATAATCCTAATAATCATGTGCATCATCTATGCACCTCTGATCGGGTCTGCCTACATCCGACTAGCGGATGTGAGCCTGCTGCGCGCGCGTGCGTATACAGTGCGACACCAAATCGTCTCCGTATCGATTGGTTAGCCGACGCGTGCGCGCGTACTTCCACGTTTCCTCGCGTAGTGTGTTCGTCGTACTTCTCCTCTCGTCTCTCGTCCTCGTCCGTCCTCCTCCTCAGACCGAATAGTATACGCGGTCGTCTCGTTCAGCGTTGTTGTACTGTGCCTCTTCGAATTTCTCATCCCTCCCTTCATAGTGCTAATTCGAGTACACCGACATGTCACTTGTTTGAATACGAATGTACTTCTTATATTTATTATTATTATTAATATGGATATATCTATGTATACATATTCATATATACACATGTGTATTACCTGCTGGGGTCGCTTCTTGTAGTATGTTGCTCCTCCTGCTCCTCCTCTAAATTTTTTCCTCCTCGTTATTCTGTTCTGTTTCGAAGTAGAGCCTTAGTAGACTGACTTACTGTATGTGTTTGTCCATGAGTCCAACGATTCAACGACATGGCAAGGTGCTTGACAAAGCAATTGGCACTCCTGCACATTACTCCTCTTCGCCTATGTGTTGGTTGACATTACTATAGTATCAGAGCTGTTGAGTATCAATTTCTTAGTGATTCGTTTTGTGCTAAGCCTCATCTAATTTTCAGTTCTCTACAGTTGGCAATAGGCCCTGACCCCTGACAGAGATCCTCTAGTGAATTTCCCATAGTAGTAAATTTGTTAAGATATTAGTGTACGGTAGAACATGATTCAATTCTGGTCTATGGCAGGGATAGCCGCGGCCTCCAGCAGCGGGGGGCCATCAAATACGACGGTCCGTGTCCGGCCAAAATAATGATCGTATGTGATGTACAAATGTGTGTAAAGAGTTTCTTGTCGGCATATTTATTTGGCCTAGTGATAGCATTTTTTTCGTTTGTTTCGAAGTAAAAAACAAAGATCCGGTCTAAAAGTTTCGGGCAAAATGTTTAATCTCTTTTTTCGTTTCGTTCGTTTCCTCCCTCTCTGTCTCACTCAACCGTTTGCTGTTACACTGATTTCGTATGACATATGCGCGTGCGTATNCGCGAATTTCGCTGAGTATGCACGCTTTTTGCAGTGAGCACGTGAATTTTATGATTTTGACGAGCGACACCACATCGCGTTATGATTCTTTCTTTCTACTATATACATGTATCTGTCTATATTCTGAATCATTTCGGTTGGGTCGCTGACGTGTACGTTTGAATTACGCGGGAATTCAAACAATCAGTCAGCTCTATGTATACTGTACAATCCGTTTCCCTCCTTGTCGTCTCTTTCCGCGGGACTTAGCTTCTCTTTGTATTGTTGTTCCCTGTTAAAAAATAAAGGAAGCGAAATGGAAATAAACGATTGTGGTTTGCTTTGTGTTCGTTTTTTTGCTACTATGAAGAAGCAGGCACTACTGGTACTCAAGAAGGGAAGGCACACCCCTTGTGCTTGAAACCTATCGAATAAATAGCGACTTTAATAACTTCAGAATTGCATCCCTAAACAAGTAGTGTAAACGGTTAAGATGTGAGAAAAATCAAGAAAAAAATAAGGATAAAGTCTTGGGGCGTTAATCGATCCCGTCTGAAGGACGCGCCTCACACTCAACTTCCATTCAGAGTTATAGTGGCGTAATGAATGCGTATGCGGCTCTTACAATGACTTCCGGTGGACAGCCGATGTACAAGCCAGTGCTTTTTTCCTCCCA